TAATTATCATACAATAAAAATTATCTAAAATTTGTTTTTGCCATAAAATCGGGCGAAACTTTTTGGACTCCCTGTAATTGCAATACGTCCGCAGACGCTCACAGAAATTTTTTGTCTATCCCGAGATGGAAGAAATTACCTGGAATATGTCTACAAGTATGAGAACCAGTGTAGCAAACAAGAGAAGACATTGCAGAAGGGATATTTCCCTAAGCACTTATTTTATTGCCTTTGTCCGTAGCAATGACATATTATCGTTCTTACGTTCGTTGTGGCGTAGCAAAATTTTGCCAGCTGCGCGGACACTTTTTTCATTTATACAGATTTTCAAGCGCGATTGTAAACGTTGCCATGTTTTTGCAGTTTTGGGTTTCGTTTGTAAGATTTTAATATATTTTCAAAATATAGGTATAAATTAAATAACAAGATTGACTATGCTAAATTCTAAGCTCTTTAATAAATTTTAGATAAAACAGTTTTGTACAACGTTCAACCTATCGTCACACACGTCTCACGAAAGATATGATAATGGTAAGGTATAGATGGCCCTCAGGCTACGACTATGTCAATGGTCCAAACCTCATGTCCATAAACCTAACAACCCATTGCTTTTAACAACACAAACTCAAAATTTGAGAAACTCAAATGAGGTTGATGAGACTGACTCCCGGGAATGAGGAAAGGCGATAAGATAACATACCGTACCATGGCCTCTCGTCCGGTTATATGTGCATGTCGGGTATGGGATTAGTTACCCAGTTATCTGTTCCAGATGTAAGTACTTGATATCGAAGGAAGCTGAAACCCACCAGCGATTATGGCTCCTTACATATTGTTAGATATCAGAGCCTGCTTGATCAGAGCTTTGTTCGAAGCGAAAGGCAGTGTCAATAAATAAAAACAGTACAGAAGGGTCTCTGCCTGAAAATTATGATTTATTCATAAAACATACAAAATTCAACTGTTCATTGAAACAAGCATTTATTCTAGTAAATTCAATCGCTCAGCATGATTCACGTGATATATAATGTACATGATAACACACAACAGGATTATTTGAATTTGTCAGTCATGATTCTTAAGAAAAACTAGATAAACAATCATTCCTGTGGTCACATCATAAACTGCTGCACAAGGTAATAATAGTGCAAGCGGGATTAGTCGATACCAAATATATTTTCACAGCAAAATGTTTTTGAATTTTCATTTTTAAATTGAAGTTTGAATAAACAATCATTTCCGTGGTTGGATCATAAATAAGTTAACAGTAGTGCAAGTGTCATAGATATAAAACTGTGCTTGAAAATGCTAGTTAAATTTACATAAGATTTCAAATAGCCTTCTAGTCCACAAGTTTTGTAAACTGACATATTTGAAGTTGGCCTAGTCGAGTGACCGACATACTTTATGTACTACTGGGCAATTTACACACATTTTAGGTATCGTGCGGGCCACATTTATTCTCGATATATATACTGTATACACCATTGGTTCTCAATGGGGGCGTAGACAACTTTTTGAGGGGGCGTGAAACAAATTAAAAATAACAATATTTGTTAGATTTCATCTTGCCCTTTCATTTTAGATATTTATTCCACATATTTTCATCGTCTTTTATTTTTACCAAGACATACTTTACTATCTGATATTTGTAGCTTATTGTTAGCGAGTTATTTGTGATGTGAGCGCGAGACGTGACAAACTCTAATAACGGGGCGCGGCTTAAAAAGTTTGATAACCACTGATATACACAATCGCAACGTCAAATCTTCAAAATAGGATGCAACCAATAGTCCTATAGTGGACTTAACACTTGAGTTTCTTTTTGTGTATGATTATACCCAGAATGATTGCACCCATTTTGCACAAAAGTTACGTTTTCCTTAGAATATGTTCGGCGCTCCAGAAGTATGTGCGCTAAGATGGCGGACACCGGAACGTACCAGGTCAGGGTTAGGCCATCACTTTATTTCATTTTCCTTTATTTTAGTTTTATCATGAGTTTGGGGGATAGCCAAGAGACTCACATAGTATTTGTGCCTGAACCTTTTGCCTAACCCCCAACCTGGTACACATACTACGTCTCGGTGTCCGCCACCTTGGTTCACATACTTCTGGGGTACCATATGTTCCTAATCATCTGGGTTCTGTTTTTCTTGTGGGTTACGCAGTATTAATGAAAACAACAAATAAACACCTAAGTGGTTAATACAATCATTTATGCTTACAATAGCACACATACAGTTAATAGTGAAGCTAAAATATATACATACTGAATATTGACGACAAAATAAACACAAAAGATAGGGTGTTTGAATCGCCGGAGATGGCTGAATATAAAGTTCATGTTTGTTGAGTATTGGCAGTGTTGCCACAGGGGGCGGGCAAAAAATGGGTCGCAAATAATACAGCAATTTGACACAAATATTTATTTACTTTTTTTGACTTCGAATGACATAATTATTGAAACCAATGCGAAACATAAATCTTTAACGATTTTGACAGAATACATAGAATAAGAGAAGCGGCGCGCTTGCATAACAATGCCGACTTAAACTTGTATTTCAGAGTTTATGGACACAGGCTTCATCGTTCTCAACATTTTATTTTCAAGTCAATTTTACACGAACCGTATATACCGATTCTATGGTATTGAGTCTGTCTGTTTCCCATGACCTTATACATCTCTTTCTCCCTGCTATACCTATCGTTACGTTTTTATCAATATCCTACTACATATCCAACAGGTTTAGTACTTTAGGTGAAGACCCCAGGGTATGCGGGTATGCAAGATAAGGTCAAATGGCAAATCGTTTTTTAGTCGCAATCTGTTTGGCTATAGACCAGGGGTTCCCAAGCTTTTTTCAGGACGACCCCAAATACATTTTTCAAGTTTCCAGTGCGACCCCAGGCTAATATATATATTTTTCGCGAAACTTTAGAGCTTGTTTCACTGGACTTTTGAGTTTGGTCATGTGGTGGTATTAAGTATAAAAAAAGCTAAAACCAAACAGTGATGTCACAATAAGCGCTTACATTTTCTATAGAATAAGCATAGAGCGATGCCTATGGGCCTGTTTTACAGTAAGCCATGGTACAAACTGCTAAATTTAACTTGGTTTGTCAAATCTTAGATGTTTTGTACATCCATCCTCTACCATACTTCAGCGATCCCACCGACCCCATGACCTGGTTGCGACCCTACCTACTTATCACCCCGACCTAATTTGGGGTCGCGACCCCTGGTTTGGGAACCCCTGCTATAGACTGAGGTGAATCTCTAGCGACTTCTCGCGGTGGCGAAAACGCGAAAATCGTGGTTCTTGCGAATACAGCCAAGTTTATGTTCATTTTTTGTATTTTTTCAAGCTCAAGATTGTCAATTTTTTTACTCTTCCATCCACTAATGAATTTGTACTAGGCCATTAGGCTTCCACAGTAACTTTGGAATATACTTTACGAACTGAAGGGCCTGATTTTGAAGGATCGGGTAAAATTATCTAATTTTCTTCACAGTTTTGATTTTCAAGTTATGATTTTTATGAGAAAAAAATTGCCTTTTTCCATTTGACTCCAATCTCCACTTTATAAATTTTTTTTAACCAACAGTGTTAAGCCAGCAACTAGAGCAGAGGTCACAAATACGGCCCGCGGGCCGGATCCGGCCCGTGACGTCCTCCCGTCCGGACCGCGATAACACAAAAAAGTACGTTTCTTTCAAGAAATTAGGCCGCGAGACGAGACCGTTTATATTTCAGTTTTGTAACGCACATAGAGAACTACTTGAAAATAATTTTCAAATGCTCCTCAGAGATTAAGTAACAAATATTACCTCGTTCCCATTCCCAAAAGTTGCACGTTTTACGAAAAAGAAGGTTGTATTTCTCGCTTTTGCGTTGAGTTAGGTAGCCTTTCCATCGTCTTTTTTAGTTATTACTAGTTAAGTTATGCTAAGTAAGCTATAATAGTTTTGTAAACCCTTATCATAGATAGTAATTTTAGTTTAGCACTAGCTGATATAACGTTGTTAAAAAGGTACGATGCGGTAACCTCAAGAAAGACTGGACCTAATCGGTATTCTCGTGCTAAAATGAACGCCAAACGCATTTTACAAGTCCCGTTAACTTTTGTACTGTTTACATGCAATTGTTTTACTAACAGCTAACCTCAGGATAGCTGTATAGAAATCGTGTATATATTTTTTTTGCTATGATATTCTTGATCTATATTCTGCGATATAGAATTTAATATTCAAGACTTCAGAAATATAGAATTTATATTGTTGAATAAATTGAATGGATTTCCTAACTTTTGGGAATTTAATGAATTGCGTTGACAAAAATATTTGTCCGGCCCGTTTCAACACAGTTTGAGTCATACCTGGCCCGCGGTCAAAATAGTTTGGTGACCCCTGAACTAGAGCTTTCCAACCAGCCGTCAGTGGGCAGCAGAGGCGTATCGCTTTGCCGTCGTCGGTGATTTATTTATGGGGGGTTCAATTACATAAAGTTGGCTTAGCAAATAAAAGCATTTTAAAAAAAAGGGTAAACAGAGGTCACGAAAAATTTTAATATATTGGAAGAGGGTGCGAGCATAAAAGAATATTTTTCTATATAACTCCGCATCGTTTCTCCAACGAAACGTGTTGCCATTTTTTCTTTGATTTCTCAAGCACTGATAACAATATGACCTTATTCGCCATCCTCAGCGATACAATATAATAAACGGCATCTGTTTCAATGCCAAGCAATTGCGAAATGAAAGCCAACTATACAAACCAAGAAAGGGAAGGGCAATGAAATCTGCTATTTCCTTATAAAACACTTACGAAGAAAAAAAAATTCCGAATTAATCAACTACCGTATACCCTCGCATATTAGCAGTTAAAAACTCAAAAAAAGGTCACTAAACTAAGGGGTGGGCCAACGCATAACTCTGATCGCAATTAAATGACATTATGATAACTTAATTCCAACAGCTACAACTCGAATTTGCTGTGATTTGATTTGTATGGTCGACTTAGATGCTAATTTTTTTTTATAAATTTGCCGTTTATATGCGAGAATATAGGTATCACTTTTATAATGCTAGAAATTTTGATTATAGAGAATATATGGCTTTCTGATGCTCCCGAAGTATTGTACCAAGATGGCGCACAACCTGAACATAGTATGTGTACCAGGTTAGGTTCAGGTTGTGCGTCATATTGGTACGCATACTTACGGAGCGCCGGCTTTTTTACCATTTGGATTAAAAAGATAATGAACATAAAATAGGTACGCTTCCTAAAAAGTTATTCTAAATACACAATTAGTTATTTTGTTTATACAAAATATATTAAGCATTAACATTTCTAATACGTATTACAACTATCAAAGGCTTACAAGTAAAAACATCAACATCAATACAAACGTGACGTCATCAGTTCGTGGAATTCAGATAAAGTGGGAATAACTTTCATCCAGAGATCAGAGCAGAGTCATTCATAAATTACGGAGTAGATTTGACAAAAAACTCAACTTCAACATCAAATATTCAGGTTTTGATTCGACTTCATTATGATATGCCTTCGTTTTGAACAAAGCTCTGGATAAGAAGACTAATAATGCGGTATATTAACTCACAAGAACGCGATATGAAAATTGTTTCTAAATGTCTGCAAAGATATTGCTATTTAGCCTGACGTTGTGACACAAACGAAACCGGTAATTGCAAATGAATTTATGGTGAAATTATGTAGTTTCCTACAAAAACAAATGAAAAAAAAAGCTAATTACAATATTAATTTTGATCACAAGATAGAGCGACCTGAAAAATTGACATTTTTGCGTCAACTGATATCTGACAAGAGCTTGTGAAATATTCTTTATCTTTCAGCTCTTTGTACTTGAGATTTTAGAAGTTTACCCAAGACTGAGTTTCAATTATTCCGTAACAAAAACTAAGTCGTAAAAATATCTATTCCATTATCAAAAATATTCAATCCTGACTGACCTAGTTGCAACAAAGTGGAAAACATCGGAGCATTACTTGTGTACAAACAATTTATAAGCGAACAGCTGATTTCCTTGTACGTAAATGAATTTGACGAAAAACCGTCAAAGTTTAGATGAATTGTTGAAACGAAGTCAGATTGAAGACAATTATTGTCTCGGGATTAATGTTTTCACGCATAAACGTTTTATATATCAATCGATAAACAAGTTTAGAAAGAATCCTAATTTGACGGAAATCGTTCCTTCTGGCACAAGACTCCGTGTCTAGTATACGAACGTGGGTGGTTGAACATTCCTTGGTTACTACTTGATGGATTTCTTACGGCGATCGCCATTCCAGTGTAAGATACTTCAGATGAAGGATGTCCCGGGTAATAATTAGTGTATGGAGCAGTAGTTCCACTTGACAGTAAAGCTCTTTTTGTCTGTTGAAAATAAAGACACGTGATTAGGAAAATTTTCGTGGAGAGGTTTCAGTGAAATTGTTGCGGTAATTTATGGTATTTGAAGATACGTTGAAATTTAGGAGTTTGTTGGATGAGCACGTGAAATAGTATTAATAGAATATTGCGTGAAGAAAAATCTTAAAAATTTGGTGAAATGGTAAGAATAAGCATATGGCATACAAATCGTAATATTTCCTGTAAAGGGTAGAAAAACAATCAAAAAACAAATTAATCAAGTGAGCATTTAAAATGGGATTCTTTAGGTTAGGATAGAAGTTGGGACTCATTTTAAATCCATGGCAAATTCTCATAAAATTCAACAACTGCATATGAAGCAACGATTTATCCAAATACCTGGTGATCGTATTTCATACCAAGCCATAATTGTGCGTATAAAGTAGACATCACTGATCGAATATATTTGAGAACCAAATCGTAATGTTGAAAATCGAATATGAATGCTGGTTTCGCCGACATTTTCCTACATATTGCAACAGCTTCGTCGTAGTTAACATCTTGTGCAGTGTGTAATGAAGCTATGTAACATTTCCCGAAATAGCTCATACCGTCACAAGATCCTGTGAAACATTTATAGAGGATTAAATCTAGATTTTTGTATCCGGCGCTTACTAAAGCTTTTTGATCCGAACTAGGCCGCTGATATAAATGTAATGAGCTACAGTTATTTGAAATGACCTGGCCCGGCAAATTAATCACTCTCTGTGTGAGGGGGGGAGCATGGGGCTCAAACTCGAGATGTGCAATCAGCGATGACAATACAGTCAAGTCTATGCTTTGACCATTGGCCATCGCACCATGATATGTAATTGAAATATTACGAAAATTTTGCAAGCTTGATTCAGCAATAGCTGAAATGTTTGGGTTATTGGAAATTAAATCCAATTCAATTCGGATTTCTTAATAACGCTGGTTTAATGCCAGATGGAACTCTTAGTGCACTGGTTCTCAAATCTTTTCAAGTCGCGTCATCTTTTTAGAATTTATCAAGTCTCGGATCCCACCTCAGAAATAACTATCTAACAAAAAGCTACAAATAACAGATAGTATGACGAGAGTATGTTTCATTCAAAATCACGCTGAAAATACGTATAAAGAAATGTAAAAAAATAAAAAAATGTGAATATCCGAAACAAATCAGATCGGGCAAAATACGTTTTAACAAATAATTTTATTTCAATCGCTTCATGCCTCCCCCCCCCCCACCAAAAAAAATATCTACATCCCCCTTGTGGGACGCGCACCACCGTTTGAGAACCACTGTCTAAGTGTGAATGCGAATCATCATATTCATTTCACAGTTGTTTAAGAAATCTAGTTTGACTCGGATGATTCGCGACTCGTGGTTTAAGGACTCGCCTTCCGGATTGATTTGCGTATTGTTTGTCTATTTTCACCTATTGCATTGTTTCATGTCACGGAATCGAAATAATTGATTCATTGATATTACCCAACAAAATCGTGTCTATTTCATCAATTTTTTCATCCAGTTTTTGAACGGCTTCATCGAGTTTGGTCAGCATTCGCTCTTCTAATTCTTCAATTCTTGAAGCCACTGACTTTTGCACTGTGAAAATAAATTTGCTTTATTAATGAGGTGTTTCGTTCTGAACAAGGCTTCGAACAAACAACTACTGCCAGTGAGCAAATGCGAGAGGATAAATTAATTTTCCTCTCGCCGACAAGCAATAATCGCTTGAATGGTATCAAAACAAGAGCCGTTTTCAGCATTTAAGACCGCGTTGCAAGAGAAATTCGATCTCTGTTTTTAATGCTGGGATAACAGAAGCCAAGGCGCTCAAACACGACGCACACGAAAAAAAAATTTTATATCATAAAGATTCGAAAACGGGTTTTAAACATGGATTGTAATTTAAACCTAATAAACCTACCAAATTTCTCGAATAGCTGTTCAACGGTGGCATTAACTTTTTGATAGTCGACAATTCCTGATTCGCCTTGTTGACCTTTCACCCCGTGCATTCCTATTCCACCTCTTTCGCCTTTAGGGCCTCTTTTTCCAGGTAAACTTTGAAAACTACGAGAGTGGGCTGAACCACGACTGGGAATCAAATCGTTTTCGTCTTCAGCAAACACGCCGTCCACATTCTTGCATATCATATGCTGACTTGGTGCCGTCACAATGATGGTAAACATGTGACAAAGGCAGACAAGAAATAACAAACGACTCATGATGATACTTAGATTTTATAATCACTGGAGAAATAATAGAAATAGAATCTATGTAAGGTTGCAATAATAGTTGAAGCTATGGAATTGGCATTTGCTAGATTAGATGGTTATCATTATTATCCCGGTGAGAGGTAAGCCAATGCGACGGTTTAATTCAGTGTCGTATCACTCTTCCTTGCTCTCGACCACAGGTATTTTTATTTTACGAATTTAAGATGTATAAATTAGGTTTTAGCGATATCTCTTGTGACTACAGAAACACACGGAAGTATATAAGGAGAAATGACCTGCAGTTCAATATACAATAACACAGCACTTTCTGATTCAGAATAGTATTTTCCTTTTATCCGATGGAGAGAAACGTCGATAACACGTTTTAATTCTATGTCAGTTCCTTTAACTACCTTGCGGAAGTATTTCGAACCAGCGAGTTTAAACAGGAAAACAGGTATGGGCCCTCACCTAGGAAGTTTTCAAATTATTTGTAATTTGACCGTAACTGGATTATTTGTAATTTGTTATTTTAAAACGTCAAATCTCAAATTTTTGCAATAGTAGAGGCGGCTTTCTACAAAAATCCAAATCTATTTCGACACTGACTTATGTTGAAACTAAATATCGATGAAATTTAAAAGATTTACAACCGTGATCCAAGACACGCAGCAGTGCTGAGACCCACCATCATTGAAAAAGAGTCAAAATTCGGGCTTTAGTGCCAGAATATGCAAGCCCATTGGTCTCGTTTAAGTTATTATCAATTTTTATACTATTTTCTGTATTATTAAATTTTACTTTATATTTAATTTTAGTTCTTGAAAATTTGGCCGTGGCAAGTGTCTGGAGATGAAAAAATGAAAGTCCTACCCAATTCTTACGCTAACGATTGCATTGCATACGTTTTTGGTATATAAATGGCCGGTTTAGAAGATGGCCGGAACCCAATTTAGACAATGGGGGCCCTTAATTATGCATTTTTGAGGGCCTGTTAAATAGGACGTCACAACACATCATTTAATATGGCGCCAGAATGGTTCAAGTAAAAAATATTATTTTATTATTTATGGATCAGATCAGCCTTATCTATTCACAAAACCCTAATCTAAGCAATTTATTGACAGCAAACCTTATAACCCCGTGTGTCTTATGGTCTGTAAAATACGGTTAAATTTAAAATCAATCAAGAAACTCTCAATACCATAGCATCAATAAACTCGGCGTCATTTTTTACAATGCTTTGCTGTCGAAGTTATACAAGCGCCATATTAATGCTAAATACAATTAACATTGTATTTTTGGAATGAACGGGTCTACGATAAAAAATATCCCAAAGAGTGAAAATATATTATATGTTTGCATAATGCGTGCATAAGTATGAAATACAGAATAGTAAAAACTAAAGAATATTGGTAATACCACACGCATTACATTTCAATAACACTGAAATTCCCTCACGCGGAGGAATTTCTCCTCACTACCCTAACATAGTTAAGGCATAAGCATGTCCGGACCGAACGCACAACCATATATGATTCTAATTTAAAGGTTAATACCGGTTATATGTCTGTCGTTCACACAAATTTTTTAGCATCGTCAGAAACTATCAATCGTATTAATAGAATTTAATAGTCAAATCAGTAAACCAGTGTTTTTCTCAAATCTCACATTTTGCGTTAACGGCGGGGGCTTTTTACAAAAGATCCAGGCCTAGTTTTGATCGAAAGGCGCGAATAAGCGTCGTGTGAAAATGTCAAAAAGTCCCAAATTTGATCACTTGTGGTGTATACGCAAGGCGTGCTTTAACTTACTTATTTGATCACGGAGAAAGGGTAAGCCAATAAGCCATATCGTGTGGCGAACCACAGCCTCTCGTCGGTTACCAGTCCATGTCGGGTATGGAATTTGTTAGCTAGTTATAATGATTTATGTTTTTTGGGGGGGAGGCAAAAATTATTTTTCGACGCCCATTCGGTCCTTTTGTTCTGAACAAGATCAGGTACAAGCACCACTAATATCTAACAATATCTCCCCTGTCTTGCTTTGCTGTTGAAGTTCTTCAAGCGCCCAATCACTGATAAATACAATTAGCATTTTATTTTTTCAATAAACAGGTCTACGATGAAAAAAATATTCGAAATAGTGAAATTATATTTTATGTTTTCATAATGCGTGCATGAGTATGTATTGCATAATGGTTAAAAGTAAAGAATATTGGTAATACCACACTCTAATACATCGCAAAAATACTTTTCAAAAACCACAAAACATTCCTAATGCGGAGACTTCAAAGCGTAACCATGTTCGAAACGATGAATAATACTCACGGAAAGGATGAAAATATAAAAACCCAAGGCGTACTTACACGAATAAAACGCAGTTTCTATATCTCTTGTTTGGCTTGAGTGACAGCTAACCGCACCCAACACACGTAAACAACGTTTTCACCCCATCTCTCTGACCTAATCGTTCTGAAAAATTAGTTTGGTCTAAACCCCAACCTACATGCCAATTCGACTATGCTTTCGTACTAAACTGCGACAAGTTGCCGGACGACTAAAAGTATTACTAATTTTGTTCATTTTGGTTCTTGAAAAATTTGGCCGTGACAAGTGTGTGGTGATTTAAAAATTTTGAAGTCCTACGCTATTGTTACGCTAACGATTGCATTATATAATTTTTTTTTTTTTTCAATAAATAGCCGGTTTTGTAGGTTTGCAGAACCGGATTTAGACGACAAGGGCCCTCGATTATGGATTTTTGAGGGCCCGCTTCAACAATACGACAAAAACAATCCGCTATTATGGCGGTCATATAAAAAGTATTATGACGTTGTAAATAAATTTCAAATTTCTTGGAATACAAAATTTTAGTTACGAGCGAGTTACGTGCGATAATTATCAAGAAAAAAAAATTGATGCTCCCTTCTTTGACGGACCATACCATACAATACCATAGCCTCAACAAACTCGACGTCATAATTAGAGATGTACCGATGTATCGGTATCGGCAATATCGGTCATTTTTCCGGTATCGGCCATGTATCGGTATCGGTTAAATTAGGGCCGATATTTCCGATATATTTATCTTTTTGATATGGTCCAGAATGTTTTGAAAGATAAGTTGGAATACTACTTTTTTAATTTATTTTTTGTCTGGAGAGATCGTGAGCTATGAGCCATACATGTCCCCACCCCCGCGAGAGAATAGGATTCACGTGTTTTTAGCTATTCATCAGCCAAACTAGCTCAACTAATTTGGCTATTTTTGCTGTCAAATTTTAATATTGACGTTTTTAATATTACATGGTAATTATGAAGAAATATATCAACACAGCACATAACAAAAAGCAACTAGACGCCCAGTTTCAAATCATACAGTGGAATTGGGGTCATTATTAACGGCACATGGACTTTTGTCACGGGTATAAAGCTGACTGTTTGTCGTCAAGTACGAGTGTCATTTAGTCCGTCGACATCGATAAACTAAATTCCGAAATTCAAAATATATGATAGCAATTGTAAAATATTTTATATTATAAAATAGTAAAGTAAAAAAACATCCTCGACGGTTATAGGTAGGCCTTTTTTTTGTCGGTGCTGATTGATACTCTTTCATTTTGGCTTTGACTTATTGCGTCGACGATTACGATCAGCCACAAAATAAAATATTTGTAAAATGCTTTTTAATTTTGAACGTAGGACGGCGGCAAAGACCATTGTTTTAACCCGTCTGCCCTACACAGCACACCTGGTAAAGTAATAATTACATAGTATCGGTATCGGAATATCGGTAATATCGGCCTTTTTGTAGTATCGGCGTATCGGTATCGGCGACAAAAGTGGTATCGGTACATCTCTAGTCATAATACCCGTTTTTATTTGCGGTAGGGGAGGAGAAGGGCATAATTACTGACAAATGCAATCAGCATCTCATTTTTGATATAAACGATAAAAAAGATTCGAAATAGTGAATAATATAAAAATGAGTAAAAAATTATATATTAAATTTTTTATCTTTTTCGAAAACTGAGGAGTTATTGATGTAAAAACTACTAGCAATTAAAAATTGTGGCGATATCCTGCTATTTGTTGAACCCAGTTTATTTTTGTTTTCGAGAAAGAAAAATATTTTTTGCGACGATTACTCGGCTCCTTTACCTCCGAACAAAAACAGATACAAGCACCACTAATATCTAACAATATCTCCCTTGTCTTACTTTTCTGTCGAAGTTATGCAAGCGCTCCATTACTGTTAAATACAATTAACATTTCAATTTTGAAAAAAAGCGTGTCTACGATGAAAAAATATTCGAAATAGCAAAATATAATATATGTTTTCATATTGCGTTCATAAGTACGAAATGCATAATATTAAAAAGTAAACAGTATTGGTAATACCACAGGCACCACAAAAACATTAAAATACCTTCATGCGGAAGAATTTATCGTCGACTGTGAAATGCTGAAATAACTAGGAATAACTTTTACTTAAACCTTCCAGCGCTCCCGAAGTATGTGTACCAATATGGAGAAAATTAATTTTGTATACGCATACTTTACATCAAGTTGTGTAAACAGAATTAAACCTTTGGGCAGGGGGTGTATTTACGTAGCTAACACGGACAGTCGGCGAACTCGTAATGAGGAAAATCGTAATAAAATTATGGCCTAACCCTAACCTGGTACACATACTACGGGATTACCAACTTTCCTGTGTTATCAAATTGGATCTCAAAAATATACCAAGATTGTATATATTTTGTATACGCCTACTTTACATCAAGCTGTGTAAACGGACTGAAACCTTTGGGCAGGGGGTGTATTTACTTAGCTAACACGGACAATCGGCGAACTCGTAATGAGGAAAATCGTAATAAAATTATGGCCTAACCCTAACCTGGTACACATACTACGGGATTACCAACTTTCCTGTGTTATCAAATTGAATCTCAAAAATATACCAAGATTTAAACATGTCCGCTGATGAACTTGACTCAATATATT